TTTACGTAAACAAACTTGAGTGAGAATAACCCCTGGGTGCAAAGCTGAGCACTTCGTGAGGGACAGGAGAGTTGTCACTTTAGGTTTAAAAAATAATATTGGCCAGAGGATTGCTGACAATAGGTATGCACGTTGAACTTCTTTCGCACCGTACGTAGCCAACCGTTCTAATCGGAGGCGCATGGGAAGGACACCAAACTAAACGCAACAACAACAACAAGCAGTTCTAAAGAAATGAGGAGACGTAAGAGTGCAAAGCTCCCAGCGGGCTTCCTGAATATCGGCAGGAGGGAGCGTCGCAACGAGACGGCGACCGCCGCCGTCTTTCGTTCGACGGTCGGGCCAAAGGTCACGCGTCCCGGTCGCGTGGTGGCTGAGCGCCACAAACCCTCACCAGGGAGTGGGCATAGCGGGGGGTGTGGGGGGCCACTGCGGCCTCTGCCTTGCCGCCATCTCGTGGCCCTGTACGGAATTGAGAGGTGCGCGATGGAACATTTTTTTTTAAATCTTGTGCTACGAAAGATGGGGCCGTTGCCCGGAACGTCGCCCGTTATACATGCTCATGAACTGAATTGCATTTTTGCGTTGTTGAAGGACGTGTTGAGTTTGTTGTTTTTAATTTGTGCTCGTGCGCTCCTGACAACGCAGCGTCACCAAATAATGTAACCGTCATCATACTGATTTACAGCTTTCGTGACTGCAGGGATTTATATTCTTGGTTCTTTCTGTAAAGTCACGTAGAAGGGAAACAATCAAATAAGAAAAAAACGCCCCTCTTTTCAAATTTTCTTGCTGTTTTTTTCACACCTGATGACGATTGCTTGTGTTGCTATCGAAACGTCGTGATAATTTTATTGTTTTATTTTTCTTATTTTATTATTTCCCTTCTACGTGACTTTACCGAAAGAACCAAGACTATGTCATCATACTGTCATCCTGCATTGGAAACAAGTTTTCCTGGCTGGAGGCAGCGAGGGACGGATGCACGGACGGTCACGTCCACAGCTCTGTAGTCAGGGTTGAGAATGAAACCTCCTTGTCGAGTGACAACTCGGTTGGTCTCGAGCAGCGATATCTTGCGGTGATGAGAAACCCCATCATAACAAAAACAACACGCAAATGTGTTTCCCCAAAAGCACTCGCCCTTTGTGCGTTATGAAAAAACCATCGGCAGCTCCTAAAGTATTGCACTGTGGTCCTGTTGTCTTTCGTCAGTATCAAGATAAAATTGATCAAATGTCACTGATTGACAGGCAGCGGTGAGACAAGAGCTAGGCAACTGTGGACCAGCTTTGTCCTGATTAGGGCTCATCAGTCCAGCATAGTCATCAATGTTCGCTGCTGCAAAGTCTGCCCCTGTGAAACTTATATATAGAGAGAGCATGCCCACATCTACACGATGGGGTCCATTAGCTTGGCAAATGCCAATAATAATCAAATCTGTAGATGGCAAGGAAACCCGTCATCATAACAGATGAATAGAAGAGGCCGGAAAAACGTCGTGCTTCCAACAAGACACAGAACAACGCGAGAAGAGTACCGGGAGGGAGTGCCATAGGTCAACCACTTGTGTCCCGAGTTGACAGAGAAGTCGATTTGTCGTGTCGATGTGCATCGCCGTGAAATGCTACATCTGCATGTAGCAAACATGAGAAATGAACAACACAGGTACTGGAGTGTGTGAATGATCATTGTGGCAACAACACAAAAAACATCCACTCTAGATCGCAACATCGCCTACAAGACCTCAGGTCGCCCTCCTCGTCTATGCACGGGGAGGAGACAGGGTGGAGGAATCATCCACCGAGGCGGAGGCGTTTGTCACGCACTCGCTGCAGCAGTGAGGTTTCTCCCCCGTGTGAATCGAGGCTTGCAGGCACGAGACGGCCTCTAGCCTCCCACCGTCCACAAGAGACGTGGGGCATTTAACACATTGCTGCGGAGGGAGCTGGTAGGAACGTTGGGTTGCTCGGTCAATGGCCAGGGTCAACGGCAGCGTGGTGTATTCCGCAAATATGCCCGACTGTGAGGGCGGGCACAAGCCGGCGTGAGTAGGTTAAACGTTGAGTTTTATAAGGGCACCACGAGGTGACCAGCCCCTCCCCACCCAGCCCCACCTCTCCCACCCCCCACCCAGCCCCACCCTCCCCACCCAGCCCCTCTTCACCCTCCCCACCCAGCCCCTCCCTCCCCACCCAGCCCCTCCCTGCACGACCCGACGGACGGACACAATGATCTCCTGTGGTCTGGTGCAACCAGAGGTTCCTACCAGTATACATATATACACACACAGTGCAGTGTACAATTCCCTCTGCCTGCGGGAAGTACGTGCTTCTTGGTGTGAAGCCACATCGGTATCGGGAGATGTTGGGTTCTCACCAGACTGGTCCCTCATGTACCACAGGGTTCGCAAGATCTAAATTGCGAGGACTCCCACTTCATCGTCAGCTTCTGGAGAGTTTCTGCATTAGCTGGGGGGTTGCGTTAATTAGTATTTCGTGGTGTTAATACATTATTATGAAAAATTCCCAGCCATCGCAGCACGCATGACGCAGCATGCTGCTGTTCGCGTAACACAATTGGCAGCTCTTTGCAGATAATGTGAAGGTAACTGCTTTTATTTGCAAATTCATCGAGGAGGAGTATTAATGCTCATTCGCAACAAGAAAATGAAAGCTCCCGCCAACGTTTTTCCCAACAGCAAGATAGCGTGCCAGCTTTGTTTGACCCTGGCGAGGGATGCCGTTTGCAGGGTGTATCTCCGCTCCTGCCCAAAAATTACACTCATCACCCGTTTGAGTGCAATCATCAAGACTTCACATATTCATACAACTCTGGGACGCTATGGCACAAGCTCTGCCAGATGTAGATTCTGCAGCGCACTACCATAATCCATTTTATATAAAAAAAATTGTGACAGTTTTGTTATTCTGTAATCCAAATTAATACTTGCAGTTCTAATTGAGCAGTGTGGGTAAATGAACATTTATGTGACTGAATATAATTGCAGTATATCACTCAAACACGCCAAAACAAAGGGAAATAACAAATGTATTATCAACACTTAATTTCACACTATACATAACCATGTAAACATTTACATTATATTCTAGATGTCATCTTTTTTTTATTCAACTCAAGTTTTAACTTGCTGTGATTTTTGTTTTACATATTAACGCATCCACATTGAATCTCTACACCACTACGATCTTTACAATCATCCTGCTTTTCTTGATATGGCATTAAGGAGACCTTTATCTTTTTTGTTTTATCAGTACTTTGCATTCCAAAATATTTCCACTTTAGCCAACACACTTGCCCAGTGCACAGAAAAAATTATTCAACGTTTTTTGTCGTAGCCCTGAAAGCAAATACAAACTTCAGTTATAAAGCTTTAAAATACAATTGTATAGTTGAACTGGATATCTGCTTATACTTATTTAGATGGCATTTTATTTCAATTGGAAGGGCCCAATGATCTGCCGTGTTCCATTTCGGTACAGATGTTGTACAGTACATTTCTTAGTTATTTATCCTCACTATATAGATCAGGTTCCACGGATTGAGTCGCTAATTGCCAATCTTGAATGCGGAGATTTAGAAACTGGTAAGAGCCATCTCTACCAACTAAAGTCGAATTGATTTGTATTGTTTATGATCGCAATTCATTTTATTCCAACAGAATAGACGTTTAAAGTATTTTTTATTTTGATACTTTGCAGTTTATTTGCAAGACATTCCAAGCACACTTATCCATTGCCCTCTTACCTGCGACTGCGATTATCCGTGGCACCAAAATGGTCTCTGTGGATAGCTACTTTATCTGCACAATTATCAACCCTATTATCCACGATTATTCACGTATTTTTGAGATGGAGTCAACGACGCGGACACCAGAATAGGCAAAGTTCCTTCTCATACAACTGCACGGATAAGGAGATTTCTAATGTATATAGCGTCATTATATTAACAGCCATCGACACTTTATTACTTTAACTCCTGCACTTGATGTATATGTTATGACAGTAATTTCCTTATATCCAAGTATCTCTTGTCAAAGATACCTTTGTCTCAATGCTGTTCCCAAAGTAGAGCTTCCATAGGACGTGCATATCCCTCACCACTGTATCTCACCGAGCGTACGCATGCGGGGCACGATGGATAGGGGCCCTAAATGGCACCTGCCATCAGGTGATCTGCACAGCATTCGAGGATACTGACTGCTCGAAAATAGACATTAGATACCACATGCCATCATAATGTGATGATTTTTACATGCGAATGTTAGGTCATAAAAGCTCAGCATGCTTATTATAGTTTATTGTCTTATATCACCTGCCAACACGTTTGGGAACATTTAGCATTTTATGGAATTGTTAAAGTATAACGTTTTTATTTTTTATCACTATTTAATCTCAATATATTACAATTGTGCTGTTAGTGGCATGCGATTATGAGATATCCATTGGGAACTATGAGAGTCAACAGTGTTAGAGAATGACCCGTGCAAGGTGATATCAGAACTCTCAAGTATTCTCTTTCGGGTGAGGCCATGGACTTACATTTTGAGTATGAGTGGCTGTGAAAAAAAACTCCGTAACTGAATAGATATAATAACTCCACTGAGGTCCCTTCAAGTGATCGTGTTTATCCATAGACTGGGTGGGACTTCATCTTCCCACGTGGCCTGCTATAGGGATGTTGGTCACGTGGCAGTCAACATTGATATTTAAAAATACTAAATTAAGTAACAGATTAAATGTAGCGTGATTGTGTGTGTGTGCAATCATTGCTGGCTGGACTGAGTTCCATAAACTCACTACACTTGAGAACCCAGTTTTATCGCGGGTGGTTGCATCCTGGATCAGAACCCCATGGCTCAGCACGCAGAAGACACCCGGGTCGCCGGGCCATCTCGAAAGCGCAGCAACATCGTCCGAGTGTAACCCAACGTACGCCGCCGTCTGTGTGTCCGTCCGCGTGTGTCCCGACAAACGCAGCTCATATGGCTGCCCAGTGCCGAAGAAGCGGCGCAACATGGACAAGGCAGTGGTCGCCGCACCGCCCCCGGGAAAGCGCCGCTACCGATTGCTCAAGCTCAACGGCTCCGCGCAGGAGGAATTTTTTGAGGTTGAGGAGGAGCCCGAGGAGTCCGATCGTGGGGATGCCACCCTCGAAACGGACCGCCAAGATGATCGGCAAGGAGAGGAGGAGGAGGAGGCGGGACGGAGAGTAGGGGGTGACGGAGGCGTAGAGGAGTGCGTGAAAACGAGTTACCAAGACGATTCAGGTACGGTCATTTACGTTCGATGTCACGTGCCCTGCTATACATGTATCTTGTTAAAATACTTGCTTTAGCGGTTGTATCATGCTATCTCCCTGGCTTGTCTTAACATAATATGTATTTGCTCTGCATCGTATGAATGTGTTTTTTTACAAATGCGGCAATTACAATAACTGTGGTATGTTTATTCGTTTTCATAAGTAGTGGCAGTTCAACACAATTGGTATATTTTCCACGATGACATATCGGTGAAACGCAGACAATAATTTATCAAATGAAATCAAAAGCTGAAAATAATGCACGTGAACTTTGAGAACTGCATGTTTCAATTCCACTGAAAGACAAAGGGAGGAACAGATGGATATGCTGACCCGACCATACTGAACATCGATGAAAAATATATTTATAGCTCATCGGATTCCTCCTCTAGTCTAAATAAAGACTCTGATTCGAATGGGAACAAATCTACACGTGAGAGACATCATAATGACTGTCAGGAAAAGTGCGGTCAGTGGGCTTGAGCGGGACACATCATTGCGAGGGATGATGACCAATGGACGAAACTGATGACAGAATGACAGCGAAAGGGAGAGAGACATTCCCCAGAGGACAAACCACGGTGGCGTTGGAAAGATTATATCAGCTCATGTTGCGGGACTGAGATGGATTGTGGCATTGCGAGTCCATCAGGCAATGTGGGGAGGCCTTCATCCTGTGTGTTGAACTTCTTTTGCACCGCACGCAGCCAACCGTGCTAATCCTGCGGTCGATAGATTACTGATGCTGATCATGATGGCAATAATAAATATGGGTTATCACCAAATTGAAACCGTTCTATTCCATTATTCAATTAATACCAGCACTCCGAATCTTTACAGTGGGAAGTTTTGGCGAATCTCACAAAAGTTTTGGCTAATCTCACAAAACAGAATGAAGACGAGCATTGGCCGGATAGGAGATACACTTGGGATAAATCAGGAGATAGATCTGTGGTGCCTTATAGCCTGCGATTGTTTCCCAGGATTTCGATTAATTGAAGTTTGCACAAATTTTCAATATTGCGATCTCATTTGTACAAAATAAAAAAAAAATTCACATGATGAGTTGGCATGGAATATCTTACAAAAAAACATTCAGATCTATAATAGCAGCCGAGTTTAGCGATACTAAGGTTCAGTCGAATAGACGTGACATGAAGCATTGTCAAGTTAAACATTCACCGACTGGGACTAACTTGGCACTTGATACCAACGACCCTTTTTACTTTTTATTTAAAAACATTGGGAGTATTGTGGTTAAAGTACTTTAACTGTGTGGGGCTGCACACTGTTTTGCATCATTTTCTGCTTTGGTTTCTTGGACGGGAGAAAGCTCCCATTTTTAAAACTACTGCTCATGTAACCACCGCAGTTTTTTTTATAGGACTTCCAACTGTAAACTTGGCATGAAACAAAAAAGCTTGAAATATTTTTGTTTATATAAATCCCCCCCAAATTTTACATTTCCAGCATTATTTTCTTACGTTATAAATTCAAAACTCCCAGTCATGTGAACGAGGTGAGAGCAAAAAAAAGTGTCATGAATAATCAATGAGCCGAGGCCTCATGTATTATTTGCGAGTGCGCCAATGCTCGTCCTGCCTTATGTAAAGGTGAGAGTGGTGCAAAACAGTGATGTCACCTGCTGTTAGCATGCATTGGATGTTGTCTGCGGATGCATTAATTCCATTGCATACACACAGCGTGCACGTATGTGTCTGCTGAATTTCTTTCGCACCATATGTAGCCAACCGTGCTAATCGGAGGTGCGAGCAAATTAAACACAAAAATTAGTTCTAAACATTATAAAGTGTACAGCTCCAGCGGCTCCCTAATATCGGAAGCATAATGAATAATGAGAAGCATCATCCATGGTCAATCCACTGCTGGATGAACGGCTGCACAGTCTCGCAACCCAGGGACGTCACAATCCACGAAGCTCCTTCTCCTGAGCTGAGTTTATCGCTCCGTCTCCACGGTTGACGTCCTCTTGGGCAGATACCGTACCACATATATTTGTAATTAAAACGTAGAGTATATTTAACAATACATGATTATGTACTGTATATAATAATGTATTGCTGTATTGCACGGGATAATATACAGTACGTAGTAAAGTTATATGTCGCTGTGTTCATGTTGTGACGTACCATTTACACATATTACTGTCGCTTGTAGTTCAGTTGAAATGCCTGCGATGCATACAAGCAATCAAAGGCATATTTCTAATTCTTAAGTTTCAGTGCAAATGTCAGACTCAGAACCAAAGCATTTCATATTTAAGATTTGATTAATAAGTTTTGTCATGTTCCCAATTTTACTCATGCAGAACTAGAATCGCAGGTGAAATCACGAAACTCCTCCTGATATCCCCCGTGCACACAAGGGATGATGCTTGCGCTCATCGCGGATTCTGCAAATGGGGATGTTTGTCATGTAACAGGCAAACCCGCAGTTTAGCTTTTGATGATCAGAGCTGAGCTTTGTGCCAAATTAAGTCGAAGCCCAAATTAAATATGCAGCCATTTTGGCACACGTATCGCCAAGTCTGTGCTCCTAATTAAAAGCATAATGATTATTTAAATGTTTGAATCTTGGATGAAAATGTTTGAACTTAAACAAATCCACCATGTGCCCCTTCCCTAACATGGGGGGGGGGGTACTCGAACTGCTCAGAGTTTTAGTTTTTTAAGCGGAACCCTCCAACAGTTTTACCTGGAGATTTTTAATGGTGCTGAATCAAATATGACATCATCGTTCTTTTGGTATTTTCTGGAAGATCGCGAGAGTGTGATGCTTGTAGCTGCGAGTGAATGAAGCCCGCTGCCAATTACCAGGAAATCATATCAAATATTGAGGCCTCGAATTAACATTATAATTTTTTTTTAGGTGACAGTTTTAGAAAGCCTTCAAAGAAAAATAATTTGCCTTTAATATGATAATTTAACAGCAAGTGCAGCAATGTACAGTAAATTAACTTCCAATCTTTACAACAGCATGAAATTGCGTAAGCGTCTGTGACAGCACCTGCATTATACGAGATATATATACTGACTTTTGAATGTGCTCTCTTGCAGGTAACCGGTCTGTGTTAGCGGTCACACAGCTAGATGATGTAAGGGATGACAGCAATCCAGACGAGTATGGAAACTATGAGGAGTTGGTGGCCAAGTCTCTACTGAACCTGGGGAAAATTGCAGAGGAGGTGGCCAATAGTGCAATGAATGAGCGTCGAGGCAGCACTGGTAGCTCCAGTGACAGTGAAGACTCACAGGACTCGGACTGGAGGAGTCACAACCATCTTACGGCACTGGAAGCTGATACACAAGGAAACCGGGGCTTCTACTCAGAGCAGGAGAAGCCAGGTGAGAACTTTCAGATTCCCGCAGACGGGCGAGACGGCGGTGGCAGAGATGAAGTAGAAGATTCTGTATGTTTGAGCAGCCTAGAATGCCTACGGAATCAATGCTACGACCTGGCTCGCAAACTCAGTGAGTATTCGCAACAGGAAGACGAACGCCCGCACCCGGGACCTGCCACCGACGACAACGCCGACGCCTATAACGGAAGCAGCAGCAGCATTAGCGTCAGCAGCAATGTGTGCGAAAACCCCCTGTCGGTACAAACGCAAGAACACGGCTGCTCAGACATGGTCAACCTCCTCAAACTGGAGGAGCAGCTGAACTCGAAGTCCCCCACCTTTGAAATATCCCCGTCCATGGGGGGCAGCACGGCCAGAGACGACGAGAGCGAGAACAACGATATTGACTGCGAGAGGGACAGCGAGTATGAAGAGCGCGAGCGCGACGGGTGCGGCCTTGACAACAGGAGCGATGATAGCGACGACTGCGAAGAGGGCGAAGACGAAGACTCGACAAGTTCTGACAGCACAGATCACTCAGATGAATTTGATTTGGTTAAAGGGAATCTTTGCCTTCTGGAGAAAGCCATTGCTTTGGAGAAGGAAAGGTCAAAGGTCACCAAATCTAAGCACACAGCGGAAGGGCACGTTAAGTACTCCAGAAAGGGGAGCAGAGAACCAAAATATGGAGCAAAAGCGGCAGGACGAATGAAATCGGCTGAGTCCCACAACAGAAAAACGTATCATTCAAAAGGTAACATTCAACAACAACAGAATAACCACTCTACGTTTCCACCATGAGCATACAGTTGCAACTGATTAGCGCTAATGCTGCACTTCAGTACACACGCACTACCTGATGTAGTTTCTTATTAAACATCTTACACAACCAATAAGTCCTATGCAGTCCAATTCTGCATTACATTTTTCACAAGCACTCATTATTAATAGGATATGAAACACAATGTGTGACAGGGGTGTAACCATGCACCGATTCATCAAATAATGATTATTAAGTTTGCGATCCACGCATCAGCTTGCAGACCAATAAACGTTATACAATTCCTACATGTTGTATGTAATGGCTACATATGACTCCCTACAGCCACTAGAGGCCGCTAAATTGACCACATTATTAAAATAATGGATTCTCGAATCAAATCGCGACCCTCAAATGCGACGATCCCGATTGCATCGCCAGAGCTGCACATTGTTATGCCATCGATGTTTTACTCATCCCTATTACAATTCCATTATAAATGAAATATCCTTCAACATTACGCATTACTTTAAATGCAGACAAAACGTTCACTTACTTTGGCTTTGCATTCATGCCATTTACTGTGCATTTTCTATCAACATCGAGCCGACTGTTCACGGAATAAGTTACAACATAAGCCTTTTCTATGACAACTTTCAAACATCTTATTTCGGTGTAACTTTCACGATACAAACTTTGAGCTGTTTAACTTAAGCAATTTGCTCTGAGGTTGCTGGTGAAATCGATCAGAGTTTGACAAGCAGGTGATTTATTTAAATTGCGTTTTTTTAAAATTAACATAAAAAAAAATGTAATGTCGAACTCCACGTGGTGTAAGCTGAGACAGGATAGGTTTTGTGCTTTGTGAGTTTTAATTTTCTATCGAGATCTGCATACATTTCCTCCGCTAACTTATAGATTCTCTCTATCATGAGTTATAATTTCATATATCTAAGCGCTGATTGGCACTTTACAAATTAAAACATAGATGCATAGATAACGTTTTGTTTCACTACAAAAAAACACAAGAGAGTTTATGCTCATTTACGGGCCTTTTGTACCAATGTCTTCCAGGCGAACGTTGTTTCAGCAGGGCTTTCTGATTTTCTGTACACCATTTAATACGTCCCGTGATGTACATGGAATGCTCTGCCCTATAAGTGAACACCGAACAGGCCCCACGCTGTTTATGATACCTGGAAAATGAAAACCACTACACAATTTTGGCAGCTTCAATGCTGCTCAGTCCTGAAGTCTCATTGGCTAATGGGCCTAAACGTTATTGCATTCAGACAGTTTAAAAATTGAATATTGCGATGCCTGGAAAATATCTGTCTCTACGTCTTAAGGGCACGTAACTACAAATCTCTTGAACAATCGTGACAAAACTTAGCACACAGTTTACAATAACCCCTGCCTACAACACAATTAGCAGGTGTGCATTAGAGTCCAAACATGTGAGTTTTATGCACACGTAACTCGTGCGCTCATTTGTGTGTTTGCATTTTGGCCACGCACGCATCTTTTTTCGTAGTTGAATACCCTCTATCAAAATCGAGGCTCCCTTAATGGGTTGTATTGCCAAGCTGTTTACATTTTTGGTGCTGTATTCGAAGCTTTTCTGTTGTCGTTTAAGTGTGTACTGAGAAACAACACTGACGTTTCTCAGTTCACTGAAGTGGCAAGTCCATCCCACCGTATAACCTGGATTCGTGCAGCATCGACGTGTGACTGCATCTGAAGATGCTGTGCAGAAACAGGGCGCCGATTTATTTCATGGAGAGGGGGCAATCATGTGAAGAAAAAACCCAACGAAGGCCTGGAGCCTGAACTTGAGCAAGAAGGGATTTGAGAGCACAGGTGGTGTGGGAGAATGGACTTCCAGACTTTGAAGGGCAGCAGAGGTGAATGAGCGACCTCCCGTTGGGCGAAGGTCGGCTGGGGGCTTGGACAGAAAGCCTTGGCTCCTGGAGCCGAGAGATGCGTGGAGGGGAGTGGTGAGATAATAAGGAGAGAGAGGGGTAGGCAGGGGCAAATCCACGGAGGATCTTGAAGTTGGTGAGTGCAATCTTGATATTGATCCACGAAATTGATTGAGAGGCGGTGGAGGGATTCGAGCATTGGGGCGGTTTGGCCTCATTTACGGGTGCGGGTGAGATGTCTTGCAAGGGGCATTTTGTTGAATTTGCAGACGAGGGATTTGGGAGAGGCTGTAGAAAGGGAGCGTTGCAAGTAGTCGAGTCGTGACGCGATCGAGGCATGGAGTAGCACGGTCGGCTTCGTACGATGCGAAAGAAGTTCAACGTGCACACACACATACATGGACAAGGGTCGTAGCGGCAGGAAATGGCGGATACGGGAGGCGTTGTACAGGAGCAGGCAGAGTGAGGTGCGTGGGAAGAGACCGGGAGCCAATGCTGCTAACACCACGATCGTAGCACTCGTCCACAGTTCAATGCACTTTAATATGTAGTTCACAATTAATGCACAGAATGTGAGAAATACATTTTTTTTACATAAAGAGAACATTTCTTTTTACTGTTAAAAATCCAGATAAATGATAATCAGACAGACGGCTTGATTAATCAATCAAAATGTGACCCCGTGTTAGATGATCGCATTCTGACCCTGAAGACTGTCGGCTCAGTCACCTGATCTGATTTCAGTTTGTGAACCAAAATTAGTTTGGATCCAATTCTCTAGAATGCGGTACCGTTGGTGCATGCATACTTTTGGCACGGTACTTTACATAATTCCCACAAAATTGATGGAAAAGCTCTTGAAAAACTTTCCCAGTGCAGCTGGATTTGCGGAGTGTTTTCATTTGTTAAAATAATGTCTTGTAATCAACAATGAAGGCATATCTGCCAAAGTTTGTCACGCGGTTTTCTTCATCAGGACTATTCTATGAAAGAGTGTGATAACATTATCCTCAAAAGTACAAAAGCTGTCATCACTATTTTGAAGAACAGTTCTAATGTAATACTTAATATCAATGCAAGTCACGTATGCCTGACATCTAATAATTTGGGTGAAATGGGAGTAAAGACTCCTGATAATTATAAGACATTCAGGAGAAAAAAAACCCTTTCCTTTTTTTAGGTACAAATATTAGTTAAAATCGTACGTTAGACAATTTTTAAGCGTTCATATGAATAATGTACAGCCCTCTGTCAGTCTACTGCTGGATGAACGCCTTCCCACACCGTGCCGGTATTGAATCATACTTCACCACACTGGGCAGTGCGGGTTGGAAAACGGGTGGAGGTGGTCCCAGCACTGGTTCAGAAATCACTCGCCACGGACAATTAGCCACGACCCAGAGTCGAACTCAGGTTGCAGAGTACACAGCACAATGTGGTAACCACTGGCCAACCTTTAAAATGGGTATGTTAATGAAAGCGTACAATGTAAATAATTCAAAATACCTTACATAGAAAATGCATTACTTGTTTTCCACCTTTAACCATTTTTCAAACGTAATTAATCACGTGGCTTACCACGTTCCTCAAGCCGCAAATTTTTTTTATCGTCTTCACATCGCGACTGCGTCGGAGCACATCGGGCTCCACTCGCTCTGCATATTTTTTGACTCCATAGTAATAATAATAATGATGATCCGCGATTAGCCTTGTAATATTATTCGGTGTATCCAGTCCCTGCCGCCCCCCCCCCCCGTGCACCGCTGTCGCTCTCCACGTGAGCTGCGCCCACGCTGGTGGCCTTGATGCCCGGCTGCACGGTTGCAGGCGGCGTTCTTTGAAGATCCGCCAGTGTCCAAGCCCCCAACGCTGCTGCTGCTGCATTTGATGCCCTGCAGCAGCTGCCCGTGTGCAAGGCAGCGTCCACGCTGGTAGCTCCAGGCACGGAGAATGTTAATGAGGATGATGGGGTTTTTTATCCAAATATTTTTTCCCATTTTTTTATTCTTATAAATGAATATAAAAATTATCAATTGAATTATGAATATCAAAATTACGTCGTAGTTTATTTTGTTATTTTTGTTATTTTCTTTCAACATATCTACGTGACTTTACCGAAAGACCCAAAGAATATGAATTCCTGCAGTCACGAAAGCTTTAAGTCAATATTTAATATCAAAATTAGTATAACCTTTCACATAGTTAACATACTTTACGTGTTTTTATTTATTTTGCACATGTCATAAATTGCAGTCATGGTGTTTTTGCGTCTATACGTACAATATCGGGGGTCATTAGTGCGGAGTTTTGTTCACTGTCTCCACACAGGTGCTTATGCTGCTGGGTGCAGGCAGTTGAGGCAATGTGGTATCAGCTTGGCTTATACTGTTTAATACGCAGGCTTTCGCGTCCAATATCGTCCATAATACAGTTTTTTTTGCTTATATCGTGTCAATCTGGCTGCCACATAATGATGCCGGTTGTAATTACTGGCGAAACATCGTAGTCAGATTGTAAATGTTGTGGATTTACTCTCCAACACTCCGGTGTGCTGTACAAGTAACGAATTGGCATGTTCTGCTTATGTGACAAACATTACTAATTGGCTGTGTCGGGTGGTGGCAGGTTTAACGACACATTCATATCTACGCGATCTAACCCAAACAAAAACCTGTATTATGGTTGGCTTATACTTTCAGCGGTTAGCAATTATAAACAAGAAAGAGCAACTGCATTGGCCACTTCGGATTTTTTGTTGTTAAATACAGTATTGTCCGAACAAATCAACGTTTCCCCCTTTCTGCACTGCACTGGTGATGGAATCGGGGATGTGTTGAATGAGCAGGGTACTGGTCGGTTCTACTGCTCATGCTGGCAGATTCAATGAATGGTCCACAGTAATTCATGCCAATTTTGAGAGAGAGAAGAAATACGAGCCGATTTTTTAAATAGAATGCACAACTCTAAGTATTTAAAGGTGTAATTTGGTTTTCATCTAGTTTTATCCAATTTTATTGGAGTAGGTGTTAATAGTAGAAGGTAGGTACAAAGAAACACACATGTAGGTATTGC